ACCAGGTAATAAAATCTTAAAAATGGATATATTCTGACATATTTTAAAAAGAAAAGCATTTTGATTATAAAGTTTTTTATGGAGCTTTCAATAAATTGGAGATTCTGGAAATTACATTTATTTTTGATGGACATTACCAACTTACTGTGATTTCTACGACTATGTTGTATACTTGGTTCTTCAATACCTTTTTCATTAATGAACTACAAAAAAAATAATTGTTGTAACAAAATCATTGACAAATTTTAAATGGTAACGACAGAATAAAATATTTATAATTGTAAATAGTGATGATATTAATTATTTCAAAAATATGAAAACTAGATGAAAATCATTCAGAATAGAAGAATAATTCAGAATAGAATGATCTTTTTTGTTAGAATGATATTAATTATAGTTTGTTCGTTAATTATTTTGATAATCAAGTTTCAAATAACTATTCACATATGGTATGAGGTTCAATTTCCACGGCTTTAAAATTTTGAGTGCTGCTGCTTCCTTGCCTGTAAAGTGTAAACACATATAGTTCGCAGGGATTCATTAGTAAAATGAACGTTAAATTGCCAATTACTCTTCCAACCACTAATGGGTAAACTTTTGCAGCCATTACATACCTCAAACATGTAAACAGAAACAGAAAAGAGAAATCAATTACTATATTTTATTGAAGTAATAAATAACAATATTAGACATAATGGGGGTCTGAAGTTAGGCTTGTCTGGTTCTCAAGTATAGACATTTGGATTGGAAAGTTTTCAAACTTCAGTCCAAATGTTACCTGAAGTTAAGCTTGGTCAGTTTTCAACACCAGACTCGTTGAAAGTTTAGACACACTATTTTTAACTTCAGTCCACATGTCTGAATTTGATTTTGAAATGGATAATTACCTTATAATTTTTTAATTTTCTTTAAATGCGATCCTCCAAGCCGCACGTTCTTTTTTTTTAATTTTATACGTAAGCTCACATTTATTCTAACTTAAAGTCAAACCAACCCATTTGAAATAAGACCATTTATGGTAAATTGATATAAGGGAAATTTTAAAAAACAATATTAAAAATTATACTTGTAAATTGAACTTGTGACCTAGAGTAACTTTTAAATTCTTTTTACCACTATACTAAACCTAAATCAACTTTTAAACCCTTTTTACCACTGCACCAAAATCTTTCATCTGAAAAAAATTTAACTGTTTATTTATTAAAAAAAATATATTTTTACCTATCAACCGTATGAAATTATATGAAGGAACCACCCTCATTTTTACCTAGCTCGTCTTTGTATGGTTGTATAATTAATCTCGACATTGCTTGGTACTACTTCTAGCCTAGGTAACTAACCCAAACGCTAGTAGTTGAATAGATTAGGTCCGCTTGTGCTATAAATAATATTTCAATATTTATAATTTAATCATAACACTAATGAAAGGCAATTCAGATGACGTTAGCAAGATGTAGCGCTAGCTAGGTTAGGGTAGCGCTTGCCATAAAGAAGCTAGCCAGAAAGCAGGTCAGGCAGGCAAGCGATAGTACAAGCAAGCTAACACGCGAGCGAAGTTGAAGGGGTCTTGCGCAACCTTCAGATTATCGCAAGCGCAACCTTTGACCCTTTCGTCGGCAACCTCTCATTTTCGATATTTTGTTTGAAGGGTATTTCAAGTGAAATATATTATCTTTCACTTTTATTTTTTATATTTTTTTCATATGAAATTCATATCCAAAAACAATTTTGAGAAAAATATTATATCCAAACGTCTGCTTAGAATTGTTCACATTCCATCCATGGTTGCCATATCTACACCTTGATTGCCAATTAAAAAAACTACGAAAAAGGGCCAAAATTGCTATTATCCCACTAGGACATTTTTTTCCTCCATTAATAGTTGGGTTATTTTTTGCCCCTGTCGTTACATAACTGGCACATATTTGCCCCTATGATTTGTCAAAGGTTTTTTGTTCTTTTTCCCTAATGGAGCCACTAAAAACATGTAAAATGTCCAAAATTACCCCTCAAGCTTATGAAATGTTTATAACTTTTGCTCTTAATAAAATAATTTGGATAATATTGCCCTTTTCCACTACGGCATCCATTTTAAATCTCAACTTCTGCATATTAAAATCACAAAATAATACTTCTCATCCCCCCTCCCTCTCCCATTTAGGTTTGACTAACCGCCAAATAAACATAAATTTGAATTCTTCTTATATATGCTCTAATTAATAGTGTGTTTATTAGTTGTAGAAAATCAGACATTTTACTTATAGTTTTTTTGTTGTTATATTTATTTTAATTTTTCTTTGATGTGTGTTTAGTTCTTCCATTTTTAAATATTTTTTATATTTGAATTGAGAATTTTAAGAATTTTTTCCTTGAAACCCGTTGTGTCGAATGAATTTTTTAAAACTGTATTAGATTTTTTGCTTGTATTTTTAGTTCCTGATTTCTTTCTTTCAATCATTTGCTTCTAGTTCATGGATTTTAATATATTTTGCATTATGGGTACATCTATTTGATGGTTAATTTTTTGAAATTAATATTTTTTACTTAATCTAAGGTAATGTGGGGACGGAAAGAGGTGATAAATAAGGGGAGGTTCAATTAGTTGCCAAGTATCATTTTATAGTTTTAATATGCACAAATTGAGCATCAAAATGAATCCCTTAGTGAAACAACAACAACAACAACAACATACACTGTAATATTCCACACCGTGGGATTTGGGAAGGGTAGTGTGTACGCAGACCTTATCCCTACCTTGTGAGGATAGAGAGGTTGTTTCCAATAGACTCTCGGCTCAGGAAAGCATAAGCACCACATTAATGAAAATATATAAAAGAAGGGACAGCACTAAAAAGCCATAAAAAGCATAATAAAAATAACAAGATAGTAAGGTGATCAACAATGAAAGAAAACAACGATTAGTCATAAAAATCTACTACCAACAGAAAGCGAAACTGTGTGCCAATACTGCTGTTATGAACACTCTAGACTACCTACTCTACTACTCTAATCCTCAACCTCCATACATTCTTATCAAGGGTCATGTCCTCGGTCAGCTGAAGTTGCGTCATGTCTTGCCTAATCACCTATTCTTTGGCCTACATCTACCTCCACGTAGGCCCTCCAATGTCAACCTCTTACACATCCTCACTGGGGCGTATGTGCTCCTCCTACTCACAAGACCAAACCACCTAAGCCGCGTTTCTCGCATCTTGTCCTCAATAGGGGCCACACCCACCTTATCGCGAATAACCTCATTTCTGATCTTATCTAACTTGGTGTGTCCGCGCATTCATCTCAACATCCTCATCTCTGCTACCTTCATCTTCTGGACATGAGCGATCTTGACTGGCCAACACTCAGCCCCATACAACATCGTCGGTCTGGCCACCACTCTGTAGAACTTACCTTTAAGTTTCAGTGGCACCTTCTTGTCACACAGAACACCGGAAGTGAGTCCCCATTTCATCCATCCCACCCCAATACGATGTGTGACATCTTCATCAATCTCCCCATCTCCCTGAATAATAGACCCAAGGTACTTAAAACTGCCTCTCCTACGGATGACCTGCGAGTCCAGCCTCACCTCCACTTCCCCTCCTTGAGTCTCGCCACTGAACTTACACTCCAAGTATTCTGTCTTGGTCCTGCACAACTTGAAACCTTTAGACTCTAGGGTCTGCCTCCATACCTCTAATTGCGCGTTCACACCGTCTCGCGTCTCGTCAATCAATACGATATCATTTGCAAATAGCATGCACCACGGCACCTCCCCTTGGACATGGCGCGTCAGTACGTCCATCGCGAGGGCAAACAAAAAAAGGCTGAGCGTCGACCCTCTGATGCAACCCCATCATAACCGGAAAATGGTTCGAGTCCCCACCCACCGTCCTTACTCGGGTCTTTGCTCCATCATACATGTCCTTAATCACCCTAACATAGGCAACAACTACACCTCTACCCTCCAAACATCTCCACAAAACCTCCCTCGAAACTTTATCGTACGTCTTTTCTAAGTCGATGAACACTATATGCAAGTCCTTCCCTCTCCCTATATTGTTTCATCAATCTCCTAACAAGGTGGATGGCTTATGTAGTCGAATGCCCTGGCATAAACTCGAACTAGTTCCCGAAAATAGACACACTCCTCCTCACTCTTAGCTCTACCACTCTCTCCCAGACTTTCATAGTATGGCCAAGCAATTTGATACCCCGATAGTTATTACAATTTTGGACATCACCTGTGTTCTTGTATATAGGAACCATCGTGCTCCACCTTCACTCTTCAGGCATTTTCTTCATTCTAAAAACGACATTAAATAACCTAGTGAGCCGCTCCAAGCCTGCCTTGCCCGCACTCTTCCAAAACTACACCGGGATTTCATTGAGGGCAAAAATACTTGCCAAAATATTTTATTGAGGGCAAAAGTAAACATTTTGCAAACTTAAAGAACAATTTTGGATCTTGTTCATTTTCATTTTTATTTTTTTAATGGATCCGTTAGTGAAAAGGGATAAAAGTGAACCTTTCGCAAATCATAGGGCAAATATTTGCCAGTTTTATAACAGCAGGGACAAAAAAAATGCCCAACTATTAACAGAAGGTAAAAGTGTCCCTGGACAAATAATACATGGGCAATTTTGGCCTTTTACCGAAAAAACTGTTTACAACCCAAGAAATCTTGTCGAACGGCAATGGGGTGGCTCTAAGAAATTTAGCTAACCAAGGCAATGAAGTATAAAAAGATGAATATATCGAATTCCTGAACGAGACAGTGCATCCACCAAATATCAGGAAGGTTTCATTAGCAAGCGCCAAATGATGCAGAAAGCTTATTGCTACACATTTCCTGACTAGTAAGATTTCCATAAATTGCAAACACTTTTTGTGGACGAATCAAATGTAAAAAGCTCTAATCCCACTTCCCCATCACACCTTGGGG